TCAAAGTTCTTTAAATAATAAATGGAAACGAGTTGAATCTCCTAGTGAACCTAGGAGAAGTCAAAGGGTAAGAAAAGAGAAGAACTTGAATTCTGATTTTATTTCTTCACAAGCAATAATCTTCTTGGTTGAAGGAAGTAGAGATGAGATTTTAAATAAAATACCCATTGTTATGCATTAGGAAGAAGATCCTAAAACCTATAGTTATGCAATGACATCAAGAGATTCCAATTTTTGGAAAGAAGTAATAAATGATGAAATAGATTCACTTCTACCAAATGGAACATGGGTATTGGTTGACTTACCACCTAGTTGCAAACCAATCGGATGTAAATGGGTGTTTAGGAGAAAATTTAATACTGATGGTTCTTTACAAACCTTCAAAGCAAGACTAGTGGCAAAAGATTTTAGACAAAAAGAAGGAGTTGATTATTTTGACACATATGCTCAGGTCGCAAGAATTACTTCAATAAGAGTGTTGTTTGATTTAGCATCAATATATGATTTATACATCCATCAAATGGATGTAAAAACAACATTCTTAAATGGTGATCTTGATGAGGAAGTATATATGGAACAACCTGAAGGATTTGTACTTCCTGGTAATGAAAAGAAAGTTTGCAAATTGGTGAAATCCTTATATGGATTAAAACAAGCTCCTAAACAGTGCCATGAGAAATTTGATAGTGTCATATTATCTCATAGTTTTAATCATAATGGAGCAGATAGATGCGTTTACTCCAAGTTTACTAAAGAATATGGTGTAATAGTTTGTCTCTATGTTGATAACAGGTTAATCATAGGAACCAATTTGCAAGGAGTAAATGATACTAAAAGATACTTGACTTCTCAATTTAAAATGAAAGATTTGGGAGAAGTCGATACTATATTAGGGATTAAAGTTAAGAAACATAGTGGGGGTTTTGCTTTGTGCCAATCTCATTACATTGATAAGATTATCTCCAAGTTTAACCACTTGGAAATTAAAGAAACTAATACCCCATTTGATGTTTCCAACAAATTGGCAGAAAATCTGGATAGATCCATTAGTCAATTAGACTATGCAAGTGCAATTGGTAGTTTAATGTATGCTATGCATTGTACTAGACCTAATATTGCCTTTTTTGTATGCAAACTTTCAAGATATACAAGTAATCCTAGTATCGAACATTGGAAGAGTTTTCAGTTATCTTAAAAGGACAAAGTCATTTGCCTTTGTTTTATAACAAATTCCCTTCGGTACTAGAAGGCTATACTGATGCTAGTTGGATAACTAGTATCAATGATAACAAATCAATGTCTGGTTGGATTTTCACTTTAGGTGGATGAGCTATATCATGGGCTTCTAAGAAACAGACATGTATTATTCATTCCACAATGGAATATGAATTTATTGCGTTGGAAGCGGTAGGTAAAGAGACGGAATGACTGAGAAATTTATTGTTAGATATAAAGTTGTAGCCACAACTAATGCCAGCAGTCTCTTTGCACTGTGATAGTCAAGCAACTATGTCTAGGGCTTTTAGCAAGATTTATAATGTTAAATCTAGACATATTGCTTTAAGACATGAATATATTAGACAACTACTTTCTGATGGTATAATCACAGTTGTCTATGTCAGGTCTGGTAAAAACCTAGCTGATCCATTAACTAAAGGACTCTCGAGAGATATGATTAAAAGCACTACGAGTGCAATGGGTCTTAAACTATTCTAAATTTGTCACTAATAATGGAAACCTTACCTTTCTTGTTGCTTAGCAATTTTAAAGGTTTAAGTGGTAATAACAAGTTATTAGTGATTGTTAGCAAGCACAAGCTTTTATATAAAGTGGTTTATGGAAAGGAGGTTGAATATTAATTATTCTTAATGAAGACTTTGAGTTCGGTCTTTGAACAAGAAAATTCAAAATTTTGAATTTTTAACAGCTCTTCACCTATGTGAACAGAAGAAGTGGTGCCGCTTTTGTAAGTGTTCATGAAACTATGAGGTAGCACAAGGCCATAATATGGTGCTAAAGCTCACGGTGAACACATTTAGAGAAGCTTGTAAGTTTATGTGTATGATATTTCCGATCTTCTTGTATAAAATCAAGGTTTAATAAATTTAAATAACCTTAGTTTTGACAAGGTTTTGAAATGTTTATACTAATAGCAGGTTTAAGTCGAAAGACACCTTCTATATGCATAAACTTTAGTTGATTTTGATTATTTACATTACTATCTAAGTGGGGGATTGTTATAAATAGTTAGTAATGTAAGGTATCCCACATTGGAAAAGTTGAAAGGAAGTGTAAGAGTTTAAAAGGAGAAACACACCAAATTTTATAAATTTGGATGGTGGGAAAGTTTGAAGAGAAGCTTCAAATATTTCAAATTAATGGGTCTTGATTAGACTTTAAATAAAATAATATTTAAAGTCAAAAGATAGGCACTTGAGGCATTTTGGGCTTGAACTCTATAAACGATTAATTATTTTTGTATTAATTAATGTCTCTTGGCCCAAAAATTGTGTCTCCTCTTTATATTTCTTTGGCCCAAGAATTGTGTCTCCCCTTTACATCTCTAAAGTATTATAAATACATGTACAAATCATTCAATACAAAAAATATACAAACAACGTTTCTCTATTCTGTTCTTGAGAGAATTTTAGAGTTTGTTATCTAAAATTCTGTTTGACTTTGTTAATCATAGAAGAATTTGCCATAAACCCAACAGCAAAATAGTGGGGCATAATTTCCTTAAGTTCTAATCTGTTGATTTATTTTGCTAACAGAGACAACAATGTCTCTTCTAGTGATTGACTCACTTTTGAAGTTTTCGTCAACATGTTACAAAGCTCTAGTCTTATTACTCGAAGACTGACCCAAATAAAACAAGAAGAAAAACATAGGTTCCAACCCAAAAGGGACTGTCATTTGGGAAACATGTAAATTGTGATATTTGGAGGTTTTGGGGTCGGTTGCACATGAAAAGTAAGTATAAAATTGAGTCAAAAATGTCTTCTACAAGGGACAATGTTTGATAGTAAGAGTATGAGAATCGATAACTGAAGCTTCCTCACTACTTCAAGGATAAAATGTAATGGCCTTGTCAAGAGTTCATGTCTGGATGGTGAAAACCAGGGAGGTACCCTATTGGTTGTATGAACTTTGACTATTTTTCCAAACGGAGAACTTTCTCTAATTGCATTTTTGAACTTGTGTGTAGGGTAAAGAGGTTTCAAAGTTCACAATTTTGCATGGATTATTGAGAATAAGAAAAAAAAATTTGCATTGACATCTAGATTTGACCTCTTCAAACAAGCTAAAAAGTCAAAACCAAAAAAAAAAAAAAAGAAAAAGAAAAAGAAGACAATTGCAAACAAATTTAATCAAACATCATCTCTTTTTTTTTTTTTTTGGGTCAATTTTGATCAAGATTAAATGCATTTTACATAAGTGAATTCTTCACCAAAGCAATTATATGAATTTTAAGTGTATTTGACTCTATATTATTGTGACACTTATCAAAATATAATAAATATTCACTATAGATTATTGTGACACTTATCCATATATAAGAATTAATAATTTATCACTGAGCAAAATTAAAATAAATACAATGAAATGAACTTGAATCCATTTAGATGTCATAGGTGTCTAACATTAGCTGATGGACGATATTATTTATCATCTATTTAATAAATAGTTAGCACTTTGAATTTTTTTTTCTCATATTGTTTTTTTCTTATTTCTATCACAAGTTAAATTATTTAATTTTTCGATTAATTTGTGGCTCAATTTAATTTTAATTTTAGGTATAGTTCATATATAATAGTATACAAATATTAATATTTTTTTAAGGTAATGGTTTTTGAAAAAAATCAAATTTTTAAATGAGATAATGGGTAAAAACTAGTTTCAAAGTATGTAATTAAGGACAGAGAAGAATTAAAATTACTATTTGATATAGTGATATCGATTTTTTGAGTATTTAAATTTTATGTTGTATTTGTGCTTTTAGACATGTGTTATGAGTAGTAATATAACAAATAATATGACTAGTAGATTGGATTGAGTGGCATTAGGTACAAGATTGTTGTGGTTACATAGTCGGCTTAAATAAATAATACTAGACTGACTATATATAAGATACAAATAATAATTAAATTATGTAATGTTGGTATCATGATAACTTTTAATTTTAATATTAATTCATTCAAAATTTTAATTTATTTAAAAATTAAATTATAATTCTTATGTCAACATCACATTATCTTATCTTCTTTTTAATTCTATTTTTTTGCTGGCAAAATTATTAAAATTAAAATGAATAATGTAAGACTCAGCAAAAAAAAAAAAACAAAAAAAAAGAAAGATGAAAAATAGATCTCAAATGATTTGATTGTTGATATCTTAAAAATAAAGTAATCGATTTTACTATTACAATTCAATGGCTAGGATTGAGACTCACCATTAACTTAATGATTAGGATATATTAAACTAATTTAATAATCATAATTCATTAAGCCACCAACTAATATTTTTTGTAAATATTAAAAAGACTATCGATTGTTGCAAAAATATTTATTGTATTGATAATATCAAGTTAATATTATCATGTAATATCATTAATTAATATTATATAGATAAATAAAAAAATAGATCTACACATAAATCAATGATTGCCGTCCACGTAATTAAATAATCACTCACCTTTTTTTTTTATAAATTAATAATTATTTAAATTATTTTATTTATTTAAAATTTTATTATTCATTATTGATAATTACTATTGCATCGAATATTATCTCGTCTTAAAGGGAAGTAAAGCGCGAAACCCTACATACAATTTAGGTGGGACCCACTCCACGCCAGCGAATCCCACGAAACTTATCCACTTTCGTCAAACTTGGTGTTCACTGTTCCCCACCCCCATCCAAAACCCACAAGCAGCCACCCACAGATATATATACGACCACTCCCACCTCTCTTATGGTTATGACTTATGAGCAGTGGTACTGGTCTGGATTCTGGTCGTATTTTTGACACCGCCTTCACAAACCATTCCCAACAGAAACTGTGAACTCTTCAAACCCAGCAACTGCAAAGCCTCCCATCACACACGGAGAGAGAAAGAAGATTAGAAAAAGGTAATGCTTTGCTGGCAAACGATGGGTTGTCGCCTCGTAATGTACAGAACTAGAAAAGCGTGTGGAGTAAAAGTAAACACATAGTGTGATTTTTCTTTTTCGATTTGGGTTTGGACTTTGGGTGATTTTGCCAAAGATTGCATTATTATCTATCTTTGATATATATATCATCAGTGAAGGCCTTGTCTTCTTCCTCAAAATCCGAGACTCAAATCATATACCCATATACAAAGAATCTGTCTAACCTGAATGCTCAATCCATTTGGGGTTTGATTCTTTACTTCTTTTCCAAATTTTCTCTTTTTTTTATCCATGTTTTAGAAATCCCACTTTATTTCTGGTATCTGTTTGGAGTACATGGCTGATTTATGTTTTAATTCTGTGTTGTGAAGTAATTTCAGGTGATTTTTCAAAGAAAGATCATTTGGTTTGTACATTGAAGGTTGATTCAAAGGGAATGGAAAGCGGCTTTGAAAATAAGATGGTCTTAGATTCAGCCATGGATGAGTTGTCTCAGATGGAGAGGGAATCTGGGCATTTCGGGTATCTATCTCATCATGATTACGTAGTTTGACTATGAACCATTTTCTTTTTCTTATTCTTGTGTGTTTTAACATTCGAATTCAAGTTTCATATAATTGAGTTTCTCTTAATTTGGTATACTATGAATTTTTAGGTGCTCACATTACAGAAGGAGATGCAAGATCAGAGCACCTTGTTGTGATGAGATATTTGATTGCAGGCATTGCCATAATGAATCTAAGGTTAAGTTCTTTCCTTTTTTTTTTTTTTTTTGTTCTAGAGTTAACAATTTTTCTTTTTATGCAATTTTCCTCTTTATACCGTTACCATATTTAGTACTGCATTACAAAACATCTAATTTTATTTAGCACTGAACAGAATTCACTAGAAGTTGAGACCCTGAACCGGCATGACATACCTCGCCATGAAGTGAAAAGGGTTGGTTATATTTAACTCATCTTCTTTATGGCTCTTTATATGTGTGGACTATATTATTTTTTACTTTGTTTTCCTTTCTTCATTTTCATTTTCCTTTTTGAAAATAAGACAGAGAAAGAAGGAAACGAATTTGGGAACATTTTGTTTTGATTTTTTGATTTTCTGTCTATTTTGTATTCTGGATGTTGGAAATTTTGTTTTGTGGGTGTAAAAGTAAAAGTGTCACTTGGATTCTGTCACATTTACAAATTTTGCTAATTATTGTTTAGTTTACGGATTAATTATGGCTTCTATCACAAGATGCAACTCGTGAAATTTTGATATGGCTAAGCAGCTATCTTTTGCTTCTTTTCCTTTTCTCTTTTAGCTTTGCTGTTTTCACTTGATTTGCTATCTTTATTCTTTTATGGCCTCCTTTGACATACCTTGCAGTCTCTTTGTCTTAAAAGAACCACTTTTCTAATTTATATTTCTAATTCTCTTGTTTTATTATAAAAGGGGGAAGTATACTAATCAAATATGATCTCTTCTTTATTTGTGTATTTCAGGTAATCTGTTCATTGTGTAACACAGAACAAGATGTGAGTTTCCTTTTATAAACTCAAAGGACTAGGAACATTAGTAATATAAATGTAAATTGTATTCCAGTCCTTGGTAATCTCAATTCTAAAGTAGACATAGTTGACATAGGGAGCGAAAAACAGATATCGTTGATGCATGGTTTTGGGTTTCATATCCCCTTTCAGGTTCAACAGAATTGCATTCGGTGTGGAGTATGCATGGGGAAATACTATTGTCAAAAATGCAAATTCTTTGATGATGATGTAAGCCTCTTTGATCGATTTTACCTTGAAACTTTAAGCCTGATTGCTATGAATTTGCTTAAACGACAACATGAATTTTTATCTTTAGGTTGCGAAGAAGCAATATCATTGTGATCAATGTGGAATCTGCAGGTTAAATCCCCTTCTGTGATTCTTTCTGTCCTACCTTTGGCCCCATACAATGGTTGATTTAACATATCTTTTGTTGTCACGTATGGCCAAGGCATCTTAAATAGTTCTTACTCATTTAGCCTTCATTGTCACACTCTTTTTTTTTAAGTGGAATCTCGTTCTTTCTAATTTTTCTCTGACTATTTTGGTGTTACAGAACTGGAGGCGAAGAGAATTTTTTCCACTGTCATGGTTGTGGTAAGATCATGAACTTGTATATTAAAGATTTATCCTTCTGGCCTGATATATTGAAATTATAGATACAACTTTTGCTGTTGAAATTATTGAGTTTTAAACATTAATGATACTTCTTCTAGGATGTTGCTATTCAAAATTGCTTAAGGATTCACACAAATGTATGGAAAGAGCAATGCATCACAACTGCCCAGTTTGCCTCGAGGTGAATTAAAATTTTAAGAAGTGTAAGAAGAAATACACAAAAATGCTCATTTTTTGTTAGTAGCTGAGTTCTTCCAATTTTTTTTTGCAGTATCTCTTTGATACAACCAAAGGCGTTACTGTCCTGCCTTGTGGTCACACCATGCATTTGGAGTGCGTGAAGGAGATGGAACAGCATTTCCGGTAAGTTTAGATATAGGAAGGGAAACCCATTGTTCTTGTTTGTATAAAACTACTGGGTTCATTTTTTCCCTTGATTTTTGGGTAATTGGCTTTGGTGCTAACTCTTTTGGCATGCAGGTACTCTTGCCCTGTTTGCTCAAAATCATATTGTGATATGTCCCATGTGTGGCAAAAACTTGATCAGGAGGTACAATGATGTGGTATTAATTATTTTTTGTGAAAGCTGCATGTGCTCGTACCCTTTAGAAAATTTGGGGTTTATACTTTATACCCATCTGATGTTGTTTGAAAACTAATCCAGGTTGCTTCGACACCCATGCCTCAAATGTACCAAGACAAGATGGTAAAGGATAAAAAATTTGTGTCTTGACTTGGTATAACTTTTTGTGATATCATTTGTGATATTTACCCATCTGAAACTGTAACGGTTTAGGTCTGGATACTCTGCAATGACTGTGGGGAAACATCTGAGGTGAATTTTCACATTGTGGCACACAAGTGTCTAAAATGCAAATCCTACAACACAAGGCAGACACGAGGAAGCCATTCTTCATGCTCCTCTCGAATGTTGAGATGATCAGCTGCTATTCATCACAGAAGGAATTTCTATTTATTACCCACCCCCAATGGGGACTTCATTTGGGATGCTGCTGAAAGTGAAGGGTACTTCATTAGTTGCTCATTGTTTCTCTCTAGTCCTCCTGTTATGGAGTATTTACTTCATTCTGAGCTCACCTGCATGTCTAGTTGATAAGATTTGGAATGACACAGTTCGATGCAATTTTAGTGAGTCATGCCATATTCACCAAGTGTAACTTTGGTTTCATGTCATTTTCATCTATACTCGATCAAATTCACCACGTGTATGTTATCCAATCAAACATTTAGTTTTACTACAATTGCATGATGTTGCGTCAAACAATGGGAAAAATAAAATAACAAGCAATTTTAATTTGCATAATATTAATTAAATAGGTTATTCGTAAAAGATACTAATTCAATTTATGTACTATTTGTATTAATCTCATCATTTTTAGATTCATTTTGTATCGAGTAGGCGTTTGCTAACATGCTGGATCCCCATAATTGACAACTGAAAGCAACCCTACCCATAACTAGAACTATCTAGATTCTCCAATACAACAGGAAATGAACTGAGCTAGTATATAGCATTGCTGAGTTGTCCCGAAACTGAGAGTGTACACATCCAAATTTTCAGCACCAACATGATGATTTAAAGCAAGTGGCCTTACTTTTCACCGCAAGGTGTCAACTTTCCATTTGGGGATAGGACTCCCCATCCTCTTCTTACAAAAATATCTACAGGAAGGCACCAAATGGAGCATTTTGTGATCTGACTTTGGTAGCTTGGTGGAGAGCCCACATCCAGATTTTTCTAAGTTTCCACCCACTTCCATCATCATCTCTCTTTCTCTTTCTCTACCTGTATATAACTAGCTAGTTGTTATCTTCCAAGCACCAAATGAGATGGTACTTAATGAAGAGAAGAGAACAGGATTCCATGGCCAAGAAGATTAGATTACTCCCACTGCTTCTGTTACTTGTGGCATCGGATTTGGCTTGTGCCACTAGCAGGAGGAAGATGACAATTGAAGTCAAGCCACCGACCATGGCCATGGTAACTGTAGCAGAAGAGCAAGTCAATGGAAATGATAAGGTGGTTGCGATGAGCTCGGCGTACGATGACCCTGATGTCAATAACCACCATGCCATTCCAAGACAATCATGGGATAGCAGCCAAAACCCAAATGGACAAGCCACTGGTACTCAAAGCCAAGATGGAACTTCTGTTAATAGCCATGGTTAGGTCCTCCCCAGAAATTGCTTTTTGGAGAAGAGTTGTATATATGGTAGTATCTATCTAAGAAATTAACTAAACATTCGAATTTTATGCCCACATATTTTTCCCCTCATTTCTATCACATTACCTAATTTGTATATGCGGCAGATCTTCTGAACCTTATCTATAAACTCACATAATAGGTCTATAGTTAAGCTTGGCTGTTCTAATGTATGTGGAGTTTTGTGCAACTATTATGGTTTGCTTGCATATATACAATTATACAAACCAGAATTAAGTTCTTGTTAAAAGAAAGACAGTGCGCCATGGATTTTTGAAGTTGTACCAACGACTGCCACATGACAGATCAAGCCACGCTCATTGGGCCACCGGGCTAATAGATCAGCCTATGGGTCACAGGACATTTGCTGAGCTTTACTTAGTACAGGAAAAGAAGCTATCCTTATGTGCTCTAATAGTCTAACAAACATGAGAGTACCAGGAGTAACAATTAAAACCGAGGGATATGTGAGCCAAAACAAGTTTCAGAAACATAGAGCTTATTTGGTTTATATTTCAAAAAATAGTATTTGAAAATAAATTTTGAGAACAACTTTAAAAATATATTTTTGATATTTTTTAAAATAAAGAACTTGTTTGGTTATACGATTTCAAAAATAATTTTACGGAACAAAAAATGATAAAACCTATTTGGATTGAGTGTTTCATATAAAATTTTTCTAATATATTAAACTTTATAAAAAAGGAAAAAAAAAAAAAAAGAGGAAATTTCCACCTTAACATACACCATCTCAGTGAGTTAAACATACACAAATCCAAAATTCACACAAAAAATTCGCTACACCCAAATCATTAAGGAAGAAAATTCCACACAACGTACCTTTGTTTGTACAAAAATTCAACACACGGTACCTTTCTTGGCCATGCCTTTGTTTGTACAAAAATTCACAATAATCCAAGCAACAATAGATCTGAGATGATGCTTTCGAGCCTTGAAGCCGCTGGATCTAACACAAAAAAGAAAAAAAAAAAAATCAAAGGGAATCGAACCCAGTTTTGAAGGAGATCAACCCAAATTTGAAAAAAACATAATCAAAAAAAAAAAAAAAAACGCTAAAAACACTTTTGTAAGAGATCGCTAGAAAAAACTCAAATTTGGAGCCGACGCTGGGAGAGAGCGAGAGAGAGAGAGGCTTGAAGACGCTATGTTTGTGTGTCGCAAGACGATGCTTTTGCCGGAGATTGCCGAAGAAGACATTGTGTGTATGTATGTGTTTTGTCTGGTTTCGCCATGGAGAGGAGAGAGCGAAAAAAAAAACAGACCTCATTACAGAGAAAAAAAGGTGTTCTCCGTGTTTTCTCTTTTTCCTTTTTTATTTTGTTTCCAAAACACTCAAAACAAGATCAGCTCGTTTCCCATTTTTTGTTCTTTACATATTCCTCTTTTTCCAAAAATTGTAGAACCAAACATATTTTCCTTGTTTTCAAAGTTTTGAAAACTGTTTCCAAAAACCAAAACATACATTTCTCCTACAAAAAAAGACAAACTCCTTCAATCTTCCACCTAGAATATAGGCTAAAAGCAAAATAAGACCAAATCAATTAGCAAACTGAAGAGATTTATTTACAGAAACTCAGCTTGGCAAGGCTTCCACTCCTTCCAAGTAGGCGGAACATGAAACTTGCAAGTCTATCACTGCAGCTGACAGGCCACTCAATAAAAAAAATTCAATCACATAATGGATTTGTTCAAAATGAATTGTTCATAAGGTCAACGGCTGAATCCATGAACTGCACCCACATTGACAATTATCAACATTCATAAGAAAGGATGCTAAGCAGAAATGTCAATAACACTTGCATGCCACAGAACTTTTAAAACCGAGACTTCCTAAGGTTTAGTATAATAACTGCTAAGAAAAGTAACATTTCTCGTGCTAACAGCTAAGAAAATTGTTAGAATATGTGTGGCTCATATTTGCTATGTGCATAATGGCAAGGAGGCAGATGCCGGAGCGGGATTTATATGAAGGGGACGCTGATTAGTTGGGGCTGCGGGGGCAACGCCCCCGCGGTACGGTACAGGGGTATTTTTGTAAATACGTCCATATTAGGGTTATATAAATACTTAAGATGTAACCCTACTTCAATAATGGAAAAGAACGGCCGCTCGCTCTCGTGGATGTAGGCACATTGCCGAACCACGTAAATCTCTGTGTGTTATTTTCTCCTGCTTTCTTAATTGTTTGATTCCTTACTATTCACCATAATTGCTGCACGATCACAACAATTGGTATCAGAGCTAGACTACGATGTCTGGGATTTCCTCTACAAAATTCGACATCATGAAGTTCAACGGAACTGGGAATTTCGGATTATGGCAGAGGAGGGTGAAGGACCTGTTAGTGCAGCAGGGCATGGTGAAGGCATTATACGGAAAACAACCGGCAGGAATGGACGACATGGATTGGAAAGAATTGGAAGCGAAGGCTGTGGCGACTATTAGGCTTTGTCTGGCTGATGAAGTGATGTATCACGTCATGGATGAGGAATCACCGGCGAAAGTTTGGTTGAAACTGGAAAGTCGGTATATGTCCAAGTCGTTGACGAACAAGCTCTATCTTAAGCAGAAACTATATGGTCTTAAGATGTCAGAGGGCTCGGATTTGACCCAACACATCAACGTGTTCAATCAGATCATCAGCGATCTGAAGCGAGTTGATGTGAAGTTCGAAGACGAAGACAAGGCGCTGATGTTGCTGAATTCCCTACCGGCGTCTCCTACGTACGAGAATTTGGTTACGACTCTGATGTGGGGGAAAGAAACCCTCGAATTGGAGGATGTCACAGGTGCTCTGTTAGGTTTTCATCAGCGGAAGAAAGCCAGTGATGAGGCTTCACAAGGTGAAGGGCTTGTGGTGAAAGGTAACCAGGAACGTGGAAGAAGCAAATCTCGGAATGGATCGGGTAACAATAAAGCCCGGTCCAAGTCGAGGAAGAAGAAGAAGGACGTCTCTGTCTCGTGTTACAAGTGCGGGAAAAAGGGCACTTTAAACGGGACTGTCCAGAGAAAAAGAAAGGGGATTCAGAGAACAAAGAGGGTGCATCAAAGTCTGCAAACGTAGTGGAAGAAGAAGATTCAGAGAGTGGTGACGGAGATATGCTTTCTGTTTTATCTAGTTCAGATCGTTTAACAGATTCTTGGATTATGGATTCAGCATGTTCCTATCACATGACACCCAACAAAGATTGGTTTGACACCTACAGGTCAGTAAATTCTGGTTCTGTTCTGATGGGTAATGATGCATCTTGCAAAGTTGTTGGAATAGGAAATATTAGAATTAAGATGTTTGATGGTATGGTTAGAACGTTGTGTGATGTTAGACATGTACCGGATCTAAGGAAGAATTTGATTTCATTGGGCACTTTGGATTGTAATGGTTATAGTTACAAATCTATAAGTGGAGTAATGAAAGTAAGTAAAGGCATGCTGACAGTGATGAAGGGACAGAAAGTAGTAGGAAACATTTACAGACTGCTGGGTACTACAATTGTAGGTGGAGTTGCTGCTGTAGAGTCTGAATCAGATAATACAGTCTTGTGGCATATGCGGCTGGGTCATATGAGTGAGCGTGGGATGATAGAGCTTCATAAGAAAAATCTATTGAAGGGTGTCAAGACATGCAAGCTCAATTTTTGCAAATATTGTGTTCTTGGAAAACAGAATAGGGTGCAGTTCAAGACAGCCACACACAAGACAGAGGGGGTTCTCGACTATGTCCATACAGATGTTTGGGGACCAGTTAGCGTACTATCACGGGGAGGATACATGTATTTCGTGAGTTTCATTGATGATTACTCACGAAAGGTCTGGGTGTACTTCATGCGGCACAAGTCAGAAGCGTTTGCCAAGTTCAAGCTGTGGAAAGCTGAAGTAGAGAACCAGACAGGGAGGAAGATTAAATGCCTCAGGTCAGATAATGGTACTGAGTACACAGATTCAAAGTTCCAGGAGTTGTGTGAGCAGCATGGGATCAAGAGACACTTCACAGTCCGCAAGACACCACAACAAAATGGTGTAGCGGAAAGGATGAACAGAACGATAGCCGAGAAAG